GGAAGAGGGGCAACCGGGACAGAATCCGGCGCCCCAACCGGGACTAGAACCCGGTGTGCCGGCGCCGCAAGGTGGAGGATTAGCCTATTGAGCCACGGTGCCGGCCAGACAAAATCTAATCTTAAAAATAGCCTTGAATACAGTTTCTCTGTCTGCCTTCTATCTTTTTTTAAGAGAAAACTTTATATGGTGTCAGTCACTGTTCAGGATGCTAGAGTCCCAGTCCTCGTCATGCAGTAGACTTGGTTTCAGATTTTGGCTCTATGGAGCCCCTAATTTCACCTCTTCAAAGCTCACATTTTTTATCTGTAGAACTGGAATACTATCACCTGGACTAAATGTTTAATAGGACACTACATAGCAAGAACCAAGCATACTCTCTGGTGCACACTGATTGCTCTATAAAAGGTAGCAATTATTCTTTTTAACTGCAATGGTTATTCCTTATTGTAATCTTGCTAACTTCTCCTCTTAATCTTTTCTCATTAGTACTCACATAACTTGATTGGCATTCAGAAATAATTTATTCAACTATTTGGCGGGGTTGGTCATACTATGTATCAAGTTCTGGGAATACATGGAGTCTCTATGAGTGAGGATGGATTCAAGGAAACCTTGCAGTAGCATTACTTAAGCAGACACCTGACATACAAGAATATGAAGAAATTAGCTAGTCCTCGCCCCCAAAAAAAGCGTGGAAGGCAATGGAATATATTCAAAGTCCCAGAGGCAAAAGAGAGCAGGCTGAGTTCAAGAACTAGAAAATGTTTGATATGATTAATTCAAAAAAAGTAAGGAGAAGAGGCCTATGCAGGAGTCTGAAGAGGTAGCACCATATTCCTGAAGGCCAAGTCAACCAAATTTAGACTTTATTCTAAAGGCGACAGATGCTACCAGAGGGATTTAATGGATCTCTGTAACTTAAAACAGGGAAAGTATGGAGTGGATCTGAAGGGTTAAGACTGAATACAGGCTGGCGCCGCGGCTCAATAGGCTAATCCTCCACCTAGCGGCGCCGGCACACCGGGTTCTAGTCCCAGTCGGGGCGCCGGATTCTTTCCCGGTTGCCCCTCTTCCAGGCCAGCTCTCTGCTGTGGCCCGGGAGTGCAGTGGAGGATGGCGCAAGTGCTTGCGCCCTGCACCCCATGGGAGACCAGGAAAAGCACCTGGCTCCTGCCATCGGATCAGTGCGGTGCACCGGCCGCAGTGAGCCGGCCGCGGCGGCCATTGGAGGGTGAACCAACGGCAAAAGGAAGACCTTTCTCTCTGTCTCTCTCTCTCACTATCCACTCTGCCTGTCAAAAAAAAAAAATTAAAAAAAATAATAATAATAAAAAGACTGAATACAAAGGCAGTATTAGCAGACTGAAGACAAACAGGCCTATTCAAGAAACTCTCATTTAGGAAGTAGAATAAACAAGATGTGCTCATAGGTTGTGGCTGGGAAGGGCACTTTGGAAGGTTATACTCTCCAAAACAAGAATGTGCTCAGTAAAATGTCTTTCTTTCAGGATACAAAAAAAAATGTTTTTAACATTATTTATTTATTTGACAGGCAGAGTGAGACAGTGAGAGAGAGAGACAGAGAGAAAGGTCTTCCTTCCATTGGTTCACCCCCCCAAATGGCTGCTACAGCCAGCGCGCTGCGCTGATCCGAAGCCAGAAGCCAGGTGCTTCCTCCTGGTCTCCCATGTGGGTGCAGGGCCCAAGCACTTGGGCCATCCTCTACTGCACTCCCCGGCCACAGCAGAGAACTGGCCTGGAAGAGGGGCAACCGGGACAGAATCTGGCGCCCCAACTGGGACTAGAACCCAGAGTACTGGCACCGCAGGTAGAGGATTAGACTACTGAGCCACGGGTGCCAGCCTATTTATTTATTTGCAAGACAGAAATAGAACAAAGGAGCTCCCATTCACTTTTTACTCCCCAAATGCCCACAATGGGAACCAGGAACTCAACCCAGGTCTCCCTTGTGGGTAGCAGGATTGCAAATAGAAGGGCCATCCCTGCTGACTCCCAGGGACTGGATTAGCAGGAGGCTAGAATCAGGAGCAAGAGCACAGCACTGAACCCAGGCACCCAATAAGGAACACAGCATCTTAAGTGCCAGGCCAAGGCCCATTCCCATACAAATTTACACTACAGATGAGGACATAGTCCTGGAACAGTATACAAAGTTCAAACATTTTAACTATCGGAGACTTATTCCAATCCTTACTCAGCAACAACGTTTCTGAAAACATCTCTGTATGTTGACAGGAATTCTGCATTACAGGTCATCTATCTATCTCCTACCAAATGTGTTTGAGTAGGTAATGCATGGTTTAAAAGATGGAGGAGCCGGCGCCGTGGCTCACTAGGCTAATCCTCCGCCCTGCGGCGGCGGCACACTGGGTTCTAGTCCCAGTTGGGGCGCCAGATTCTGTCCCGGTTGCCCCTCTTCCAGGCCAGCTCTCTGCTGTGGCCAGGGAGTGCAGTGGAGGATGGCCCAAGTGCTTGGGCCCTGCACCCCATGGGAGACCAGGAGAAGCACCTGGCTTCTGCTTTCGGATCAGCGCGGTGCGCCAGCTGCGGCGGCCATTGGAGGGTGAACCAACGGCAAAAAGGAAGACCTTTCTCTCTGTCTCTCTCACTGTCCACTCTGCCTGTCAAAAAAAAAAGAAAAAAAAAAAAAGATGGAGGGACTATTGATCAAACTTCCTTTTTCTCTGAGGCCATCTTTTGCTTTTTAAAGGAAAAATCAATTTCTACTCTTTTCCATGTTTTCACATTTTAAAATAAATTATGAAGGAGGATTTAATGGACAAATCAAGTTACATGTTAAGTGAATCCTGGTTCTCTGGCACCTTCAAAAATGAACTGTTATGGAGAAAACTTTTTGGTACTTCTCTGCCTTCTCAAACAGAGCCTATCAAATACACTCTATCCTTTACTGAGGACACAGGGTCTGCATTCCAACTGTTAAGGTGACAAGCTCTTTTGCCCTATAGACAAAACTCTTTTCATGGAATGCTTTGGCCTACTTTTCCTTCTCATCAGTTCAAGTGCCACCTTTCCGGGACGGGTAGTGTTGCACAGCAGGTTAAGCTGCCACTTGTAATGCCTGCATCCCACACTAGAGTGCCAACTTGATTCCTGCTTCTGATCCAGTTTCTTGCTAATATGGCTGGGAAGGCATAGGAAGATGGCCAAGCACTTGGGCCCCTGATACCTATGTAGGAAACCAGCATAGAGTTTATGTCTCCTGGCTTTGGCCTAGCCTGGATCTGGCTGCTGTACCAACCTGCACAGTGAACTGGTTGATGGAAGATCGATTTCTCTGTTGTCCCACCTTTTTTTTTTTTTTTTTTTTTTTTTGACAGGCAGAGTTAGACAGTAAGAGAAAGAGAGACAGAGAGAAAGGTCTTCCTTTTTCCGTTGGTTCACCCCAAGAGGCCGGCACACTGCGCCAATCCGAAGCCAGGAGCCAGGTGGTTACTCCTCATCTTTCAAATATACATCTTTTTAAAAATTGATACCTCAAAAAAAGTCACCTTTCTGAAAATTGTCCTTACCTCCCACCCCCAATCACCAGTCAACTTAGTTCCCAAAACACAGAACATCCTTTATTTTAGCGTGAACACAGTGAATTACAGATAATTTTGGCTTACTTTTCTATCTTCTTTAGGCCACATGCCTTTTTAGGGCAAGGGCTGTGATTTTCAATTCTGTACCCCTAAATGCCTAGCACACTAACCACGAGGCAAACTGATACGCTCAAAGTTTACTGACCTGCATTGTGACCCTTTCAGGCATGCTTCAGGGGTGGGGAAGGTCAGGCCCAACCGGCGCAAGTCATTTGGTCTGGCCCTGCCAAATCATCCGCAGGCGGGACTTAAAATTCAATGTATCTATAGCAGGCTCATTTTCAAGTTGATACTTTTGTGTGGCCCAAGAATGATGTTCTAAACATCCAAATGGCCCTTGGCAGAAAAAAGGTTCCCCACCCCTGAAAGGGAGACAGTTTGGGAGCTGAAGCTACTTTTAATACTTTCCTCACAGAAAACAGCTGGTGGGTTATCAGATGAGAGTGTGTGGGCTGTGTGGCTCAGGAAAGCCTATTCAAATAATTACAGAAATGGGAAAAAGAAAGTTTGCTTTTATATAACAATTACAGAAAGAAAAGCTGGACAATCATTTGGCTGCAGGAACACAGATTTTTAAAGTGTTGAGAAACAGCATTTCACACCTGTTTTTCTTCTCTCCTAATTACACTATTACTAATCTGAAACAGCTGGAATAAGCTGACTTTTTGGATCTGTGCACACAATGACAATAAAATGGCTCAAAACAAAGGTCTGAGAAGCTTTCCTGTGAGCCAGCATTGAAGCTTTGCAATGCAAAGATTTCTCCAGGTAGAATGGCAGCTGCATCAAGCTTTGGTCTTGCAGTCCCTACAATCTCAGAGTGGAATGCCTTGACACTTCCTCTCTGCCATCCAGATCCTAGGCAGTGTTTGACTCAAATCTTCCTACATCATGCTCTGACCTCGTTCTTCTTTGGATTCGAAGGGCTGTTAGTAGTTGGTAACAGGAAACGTAATGAGTGATTACGTTCTGCCCAACATTTTCTACTCTGTTCGAATCTGATCAGCCTTCCAACGACGGTAGGGAGACGGGCTAATCAAGAGCCAACTGAATGGAAAGAGGTTGTTAATCCATCCTAACATTGGGAAGCTGAGAAGCAAGCCCAAACCTAGCTCATAGGGCCCAATCTTAGCTCACAGGTGAATATTACGGTCAACCTCTTGCCTCCCAAAGTGAATAAAACCTCCTGGCAGCTTTATGTTGGGGGTTAGGGGGGCCAGCGGTCAGGAGAGGCAATTCAAACCTTCTCCACAACAAAAGCAGCTCTCCTCCACCCACCCCCCTTTCCAGGTCCCTTCTCCGTGACTGTTCCTTGCCCATATCCAAAATGGCACGGCATCACTTTTGCCCTCCGACCTAGGAGCGAAGACTCACCAGTTTCATAATGGACTTTAGGTTTTTCAGTATCTGTCTCAGGACTCCTCAACTCCAGCATGTGTCTTCCGGTTCAAGCTCCTTCTCTGGCCCGCCGAGAGCATCGCGGGACTTGCAGTCTTTCTTCCTCACGCCCCCTTCCCGGACCATCATGGGAAATGTAGTCTTCCTTCTGGGCATCATGGGAACTGTGGTCGTCTTTCCTTTTCCTCCCTTTACTAGCCGAACGCCTCCTTCCGTCGGCTCAAATTCATCCCCGCCGCCAATTCATCCTCCCTCTCCACCCCAGCATGATATCATGTCCCCTGTATGGGCCTGGGACCCATGGTATTCTGGGATATGTAGTCCCGACGGCCTCGTCCCCGCTTTCCCCGCCTCCCTGTGGGAAGGCGGATGGGCGCGAGACTTGCCGGGAGCTGTAGTTCCCTGGGGCCTCCAGACGCCGAACTCGGTGCTTTTACTCAGGGGAGGCAAGAACTACAACTCCCAGGGATGCCTGGCTGCAGCAGGTGGGAGCGGGGCTGTTGATATCAATATGGCGGTTGTCAGCCAGACAAAGACAGTCAGTCTGATGTGATTGAGACAAGGGAGGTTTTGAGGGGGAGACTGGGAGATAGGGGCCTCCCCTCCCCCTTCTCCTCTTCCTGCGCCGGCCTCAACCCCTCCCCAGTCCCCTCCCGACGGGCGCCCCACGCGGAAGACACCCCTCCCCCTCCCGCTTTCCCTCCTCCCTACCTCAGCCCTTCGTACTGGGACGTTGGGGAGGGGGCTGTGCCGGGCGGAGAGAACTCAGCAAGGATTCTGAGGTGAGTCGAGTGGATTTGAAGCCGGACTACCTCAAGTCTGTTTCTTTACTTCTTTCTCTTCACTTAAGAAAATTTGGTGTGGGGGGGAGGGGTCTGGGGAGAAAGTGAGCGGACGCTGGGGATGGGTCTCCTAAGCGGCCGGATTGAGAGGAGGGAGGAAGCAGGGGGCTTCCGAGTGAGTGACCGGGACACGGGGTGTGGGGTGGGGCAGTTTGCGAGGGACAGGAATTGAAAGGCGTCGACTGCTCCCCAACTCTTTTCTCCTGGTTTCTTCCTCTACTATGGGCGGAAGGTTGGAGGTGGGGGTCTCCTGCTTGGAGTTTGGGAAACTACGAGGTGATTTTGAGGTGTGTCGGTGTGTAGAACTGTGTTTTAAACTGTGTGACGTGTACTTCAGTGCTGCGCTCGTCTTGAAGAAATGTCTATAGATAGGAAGTTAGATCGCTAGAGTCATAGCTAGTCCTGGGCCTGGGCTGAGAAGCGTGCGTTGAGGTCCTGGTGCTGGACGTTTGGGCTGGCGACGTGGTGCGGGGTTGCTGGACTCAGCAAGTCGTTTGTGTCCCATTGCCCGCTCACATTCCGCCACCCGCCTCCCGTCCCCTCCCCTGGTATAAATCTCCACCCCAAACTCCGGGAAGGAGAATTGTGGAGATGATGTGGTGTGGAGATGATCTTTGCATCCTGAAGTCGGGAGATAGGTGGGAAAGGAAAAGTGTTTCTTAATATTTTATTCCGGAACCGTGTTTTGGTTACACTGTTGGGGCTACTTTGAAAGGCGTCCTCCACCCACCTTCGCCCCCGAAACAGTAGGTAGAGGTATCCTGTGGTCTTCGTGTTAACCTAGATTGTTGTTTAACTTGAGCTTCGGGGGCCTGGAGTGGGGGAACTGGAGTGCGGGATTGTGTTCGCGGCTAAAGGGGCAGGATGTCTGATGTGTATCTTGAGATAGGGCGACTTATTTTCGTAGTAGGAAAAACTGCTGGAAATTATTTGCGGGGCGGGGAGGGGGGAGACGGTGCGTTGAAAGGCGCTGCTTGTGTTTCCCTTCTACCCCACCCTGTTCTGTCTCTCATTTGCCTGGAAGCTGCTATGAAAGAGTGAGGAAGCACTGGGTGAATGAAGGCAAGAATGCAGTTGGCAGTAAAGATCCAACACTGTGTAAAGTTGAATGGTGTAATGTGCTTGCTGTTTTTCATTTAGTGTGAAGCTTTATTAAAACCTCATGTATAAAACAGGGTAGAGTGATGTGACGGTTTCTCCGGGAGCCTGCAGGTATAGAATCCGATGCCTTCTCCCTCTCTTCCTGCCTTCCCCTCACTCTCCTTCCTTCTATCCGTGCTTGCTTTCTTGACATAGTACATTTCTCTTCCTGATGGCTGTAATACCTCCTGTGCCTTTTTAATTTAGTTTGTGCTATTACAGTTGTGCTCTTTGTGGTTTTACTGTAAAATGCACCCTTAGATGAAAGGGATCTGCAGTTGTTTTTATTTTGCATTTACCACAGGTAATTAGCACATCAAGATTGCAGTGTTTTTACATTAAACTTCTTTAAAAATTGCACAACTAACTTGTTAGATCTCATTGAATTATGTTTATAAGTCAAATTTGGAAATTTTTTTTCAATTTCCAATTAGAGTTAAAAAGGGAAGGGGATTGCAACATTTTTTGCTTCTCACAGCTTTTAATATTTAATAACGTTACACCAGGAGGATTTAAGATCACGTAATTAGTACTTCAGTAACCCCTTTTCCTGTGACACTTGTTTTATTTTTTTTTAACTTCAATGGGCTTTTAAATAACTAAGGGAATTGGCATAATTTCTGTTTGGATTGTTGAGAATATAATGTGTTTGTGTATTTGGCCCCAAACTTAATTTTTGAATGTACCACCTATCACTAAGGGACCTTTAGATTCCGTAAGAACTGAAAGTCACTGTGATGTACTATGTAGTTTTATGGTATGTTTTACAACCTTTGATTTGAAATTTCTGCTCTCCGCCGTTCACACAGATAAGGGGACTGGAAGCATGAGGTAGCATATATCTTAGGTTTGCCTGAACAGAAAAAAAAATTGATGTGTCTTCTACATCTCAAATATCGAATATGTTGATGCAAAGCTGAGCTTTCAGTTTGTTATAGACTAGGTTTTTTAGTTACTCATTTTAGCTTATATCTGAACCTAAAATACTACTTTGCAAAACTGAAGAAAAATTTTATGTAACTACAAAATGGAGTTTATATTTTGTTTTGTTTTTCTGAAGCATTCTGATGGTCATAGTTTAAAAATGTTTAGTGCTTTTTTTAGAATTTTAAAGCTATAATGTTTAAGAGTTGGAAAAATATGAATGTTTTCTCTTTCGCCGACCTTTACCTCACATTTTCTTTTTGTTTGTCTTCATCTATGGAAATACAAAATTACTTACTGGGAAAAGCTTTCATTAAACTTTTTCTGACTGATAATGGGGTCAAAATCATTATATATAAACCACATATATTCCTTGCATTAATTGGCGGTAATTCTGTGGCGTTTTAAGCACTGGACATTAAAATGATGTAAAGCCTTGCTGCAGGTTAAAGCATAAAACATTCTCAGTGTGTGGAAGTCGTATGGTTTATGAAAAAGGTAGAAAACCGGAGCACTGGTGCCTGTCCAGTTTAACATTACATCCTGTAATTGGGAAAGACACATTTATGTGAAAAACATATTTATTTTATTGTGATTGCTTCTAAAAATGTGAATATATGTGGGAAGTTGAAATTCTAAAGTGTTATTAACCAATCTGTTGCTAGTTTAGTGTACTGCATATAGCCAACACTACTTATGGTCACAAATATGATCAAAGGAAGGAGCCCATGGAGCTTTATGTTGAATAACTTCAGTAAGATTTCATTTTCACTGCTCTATACATAGTATTACTAATAGAAACTAATAGCTCAGTATTGCTAAGTTATCAAATGTACTGCAACAAATCTCTGATTGTTTCATAATTAAAAAATAGAGTTAACCTGTTTATGCCAATTTTTGTGGAAGTATTGATCAGGATTCTGTTGCTTAGTTTCAGTATATGTTGAATACACTGCAAATACTTGTGCTTACTTTGTTCATTTGGAGTCTCCTGTACCTCACATTCAGTCCATCCCAACTGTAATGTTTCACACAGGTACCACATTGCATGTTTTTTGGGGGATTGATTTTTTTTTTGTTAACTGTAACTATATATATGTAACTTAGTAAAACTTTATAAAAAATTGTTGAGTAAAAAGCACAACTTGTCTCAGTATATCCACACACACACACACACACATATTCAAATAATCTTTGTTTATTTATAAAACTGGTGTATGAAGATATATCAGAAAGTTTAAGAAGTTGAAATTAAAGGATAAGTCTAGGGGCCGGAACTGTGGCGCAGCAGGTTAAGCAGCTGTTTGCAGCACTGGCATCCCATATGGGCACTGGTTCAAGTCCTGACTGCTCCATTTCTGATCTAGTTCCTTGCTAATGTTCCTGACAAAACAGTGGAAGATGGCTCAAGTGCTTGGGCCCCTGCACCCATGTGGGGGACCCTGAAGAAGCTCCTGGCTCCTGGCATCTGCTTGGCTCAGCCTTAGCTACTGCAGTCATTTGGGGAGTGAACCAGCTAATGGAAGGCCTTTCTTTCTTTCTCTCCTTCACTGTAACTCCTCCTTTCGAATAAAAATAAATAAATCATTTTTTTTTAAAAAGATAATTTTATTTTAATGAAAAACTTTGAAATCCATGCATGCATATGAGCATTAAGGGATCTTCAGAAAGTTCATGGAAAATGTGTATTATGAGAAAGCTAGTTGATTTTCAATATTTTTTCCACTAAAATAAATAACTAGTTTCCATGTAGTTTTGGAAGTCACTTTGTTTATCTATGAGACATATAGTCCATAAGGGCAAATTTGAACCACAAATATCAGGAGACTGAACATTGGCTCAGTCACATGTTGCCTGTATAGTAGAAGCTTTGGAGATTTCCAGTGTCATTCAAACCATTATTTTAACGTGTTTTGCCAAGGAATATTTTCTGAAAATGAAAGCTGTCAGTATTGAAATTTTCCTTAAAATAGTACTAAGTACTTAATATGTGATTTAGAATCTTCAGTGCAGCCGTTCCCCAGATGTCCTTTACTGGGCTTAGGACTCTATTGGAGGTGCAGAGTAAAAAATTTTCTGAGTGATTATTTCATGTAAAACTTTTAGCGCCTATTTAAACACAATTCAGTGCTTTAGATAACTTGTTTTCTGTGACCTTAGACAAGTTGGAAATTTACTTTAACATTGTTTTGGACACTTTCCAAAAGCATTTGGTTATTGGAAGGCTCTGGCATTAGCACAGTTTTACCCTTACAGTGGAAATAAGGTTGAAATTACCGTAACTTTTTCCAATAGTTATTGCAATCTTTGTGCAATGTTTTATGGGTTCTTAGGCTATAAGGATAACAGTGTTTTGTTTTTTTCTCCCTAACATTTGCAAACATGAGGGAAAAAGTAACAGTGTCTGGCTTTAGATTTGAAGAAATGATCAGTTATTTTTTCTTGACTCTTAAAACTTTTGTCACCATACTCCTTTCAGGTGATAAAATGATTTTAATCTACTCAAAGGGCATTTAGGTTTTTCTTAAATTTATTTATTTATTTATTTTTTTTTTTGGTTTTTCTTAAATTTAGAGTGCTGATTATGATGAAAATGTTTTCTACTTACACATACTGAATATATTCTCTGTAGCTTCCTTTGTCCATCTTACATCCAGTGAGTCTACATGCAGAATATCAAAACAGTTTATAGCTCTTACTGCTATATACATATTAACTGTGGGGTTGCCAAGCAGCAGTGACTTTAATGTATATAGTTACAGTTTTTTAAAGATTTATTTATTTATTTATTTGAAAGAGTTACACACAGAGAGAGAGATAGAGAGAGAAAGAGTGGTCTTCTCTCTGATGGTTCACTCCCCAATTGGCCACAACTG